CTGAGCATACTTGTGCATTAGGGCACACTTACCTTACAAGTATGCATTTGATGACACATGCATTCTAGCATGTTCCGACGTGTGTGTTAAAACGCAAACATGTAAACAGGCCTAACTGAATGGCATTTAGTTTGCTAAAGCACTGTGTATTATAAACAATAGTTTTTTTCTTTTTTTTTTAATACTGTAAAATTCTTGTTTTCATCTTTTTCCATCTTCTGTTGTATCTGAGTGCTGCTGATGTCCTGCTGCCTTTTTGTAGCCACTTCCTGTCTACATGCATGTTCCCCAGCAATGGCTGCATGGCATTTCTCAAGACAGGATTTCTGATCTTGACAACAGTAGACAAGGAACGTGTAGAGTCCATTGGAAGCTTGTGGGGCAGGGTGATAACCAGAGGTGTCCCTACAGTATTCGCCACCTAAGGGGGTGGGGAAGAGTTTGCTGCTACCTTTGGGTCCAGAGGTAGCAGCAAACGTTTTGGAAGTTACCCAGGGCTAGCCTAGAATGTGACCTTTGGGCACTAGCCTTTGCTTTTGGCACTTTGGACCTTGGACCACTTTGGACCTTGGTGCACGGTGTTACATAGCCACAAAGCGTTTTCCAGGTCAAGAGCAATAGCATAGCCACTAGTGTGATGCAGACTGAAGAATCAGTCTGTGAGTAAAGCTGGCCATACACTGCTTAGATTTTTGAAAGAACTTTCATATGAAAGATCTTTTGTTCGACTTTCTATTAGCTGATGGTGTCAAATGAACGATCAATTTCAACCTTAGTGATGAAAAAACTCGAAGGAGCAGGATTTTCTTGAACAAACAAAATTCTAACAGTGAATATGGTTTTCGTTCGGGAAACACCATTCATTCCAAAATCGAACATTGAAATTGAAGAAAATTTCGATCTACATTTGTTAAGTATCTGATGGCTTTATCGGGTGGTAAAGAAAGATATTTCTTATAAAAATGTGTGTGTATTGCCAGCTTGAGCCTCTGGTTATGGAGAAGACATCCTGGCATGTGTTCTTTTGGCACTGAGCAATGTATTGTAGCCCTTTCCAAACATCCTGTATGGTTCTACTTAGCCTCAGAGTGCCCATCAGGTCCAGAGCAGTGGCACAGCCTCTGGACCTCTCTGAAACCTCTCTTTGTGAGTGAGTCCCAGAATGGGGCAAAGCTAAGCAATATGTATTTTGGCACTGGACTGCATTATGGCACTTTCAAGAGCCTTGTGTAGTGTGTCAATTAGCCACAGACCATGTTTCCAGTTGAGAGATGTGGCCCAGCCTCTTGTTTGAACTGGTCCCTGCTGTCTCACTCCATATGGAAGTCCCTGTCTGCAGTTAACATATCTCAATATCTAACCCTTATACACTGTCTTATGTCACTTCTCAGTCATATGTGTTCTTTATCAGTAACCTGCAGAGTACTATCCAGTTTTGGAGCCATAGTGCAGCATGACAATGTTACTCATTTAATGGATATTTATGTATAGTGGATGTTTATATAATATGGGGGGGGGCGAAAAAAATGTTCTGCCCCGGGCGCCCCTAACTCTGGTTACGCCACTGGAACTACCTCACAATTTTCACAGCTGGGAGCTCTTTTTACTGAATTAAGGGTATTACCTATGGGAATTCAGTGCTGATTGCATCCACCAAGGAACACCCCACACACTCTGTGATCCTTTCCTGTCTTTTGGTTCAGAAGGAATATTTTGTCCAGTTTCTACTGATGAAGTGAATTATACAGTCTCCAGTCTTTCTTATACTGCCTTCCTTCAGTGACTTGATCGTCGCTGGCCAAACTATGGTGGCTTAGGTTCGTGAGTGTGCTAGGCCATGTCTCATTTTGGGTTTAGTTTCTTTTCGTTGTTTGGTGCAACATTTATGTTAAAAGATGTTCAGAGGGTAGTCTCGCTGCATCTGGTGACCTCTTTCAATACTCCCCTAGTGTTTCAGTGAGCGATTCACCAGTATCCCTAGAAGAAACCAATGCCTGTGTTTTGAATTCTGGAACCCCTTTTTCTATACGATTGTCCTCATCAGCAGTTTTTATAGCTCCATTAACCTCACTGTGTCTACCAGGCCTCCTATATTCACTTCTAACTTTGTCTCAGTCTGTACATGATTAATAGAATAATATGCTTGCAGACATTTATATGTGCTCTGGCCCCTACTACAATGGAGCCTAATTCCGACCCTACAGGGTTCTTATCTTTCAGAATGCCTGAGTCCCCTATCTCTGAATCAGAATCCGAACCTTCACAGCCAACACTGTAAATCTATAATTGACTAGGCTCCTGAGTACTCACATATGCAAACTATTGTTTTCGATCTGACTGTCAGGGTTCCTCCCTGTCTTTACTGGTTCGCAGCATTCTGGCTTGGCTGCCATTTTACTCACCTGTTTCCTTCCTTGCTTGAGCAGACTCTGGATAGTGGCTCACTACTCCCAGGCTCCCTCTTATAGCCAGACAGGAGAGCATCATCTGAGTGAGTCAGATGGGAGTTTCCTGTCTCTGAGTGATGATGTTACCACACTCACTATATATATACCACTCAGTCCAGTCTGACCTTGCCCTTGTGTGGTCTTCCTGCTAGGGCATTCCTCCTGCTCTGAGTATTCTGATTCTGTGTATGACATGATTCTGGCTGATGTTCTCCTCTGGCTCCTGCTCCTGGCTTGTTCCTGATGATGCTGATCTCTGTGTTCCTGACCTGGCTTGGATGACTACCTACTCCGGCTCCTGACTCTGGCTTGTTGCGGTTTAAGATTCTGCCTGCTCCTGTGGACACTGTTCTTAATAAATATTTTAACTAGCACCTTTTGCTTGTCTGGTTTTCATTGTGCTATGACACTGACGCAGTACGCTCTTCTATGCGTCTAGAGAATCAACTTGTACCAGGTAAAACATGTTTTAGAGCCCGCTACCTCAAAGATCTTCTCTATATCCTTTGTACTTGAAACGTTCTTCTATAAGAATTGGAAACTTCCAAGACAACCATGGCTTCCTCCTGACGTTGTGAAGAAGCATTTTGCCTTTGATGTGGAATTCCTTGACAAATAGTTCCTATCTTATGCAGACATCTTATCACACTGGTTAATGCCCCTTTACATTTAGGGATTACACTGATAGACAGTTGGAGTTCCTATTTAAGTCTCAGTTTGAATTAACTGGAATGACTCTGTCCTCACTTTGTAGTGACTTTAATTTGTAACACCATGTCTCAACGGATCACATCCTTTAAAAAGGACTCTTGTAGCACAGGTCAAGATCCTCGGCTTTGGAACTTTAGAAAATGCCTGAAGCCCTCCACTTTAGTTGTAATGGCCTCTCAGCATCTAAGGTGGTGTCTCACATGGTAGTATTGTCTGTCCATATGCTATCCATTATGGCTATGTAGAAGATACATTTAAATAATTCCTTACTCGTTTGCAATTTGAGGGAAGCTGTCTCTTTGATAATACACCTAACAGTGACATGCCCAATCCTCCTGCTTTTCATTCTGTGTGCCCATTTCAATGCAGGAGATCTGTAAATGAGACAATAACAATCTTATTGGACTATTGTTCTACCCCAATGTTTTTAGAATCTGCCTCCCGCCTGTGCTGCAGATCTCAGAGATCTGGTCTTTTGTTTGCTCTCTGTATTGGGTCCCAAGGATACCTCCTCCTTATACTATGGTTGCCCAGGCTCCACCTGTTCTTCCATTATAGACCCTACAACCTCCTTTTTTTTCCTCACTCATTTGGGTTTCTTTACCCCAATGTGTATTATCCAGAATTGTTTTTTAATTCCTCACACCTTGGAACCTCTGCTGCCTAGGATGGTACGAACCTATTTTGTGGAATACCATCCCACTTTTACTTCCACTCCTTCTTACAATGATGTCCACACGGTTCTGGCTGACTTCACCCATTCAGTGGTTATCTCTCCTCAACCCTAACTTATTCTGACAGGCGTCTTGACCTACACAGTCCTCAGATATCTGTGTGCCTGGGACTTCCCCCTTAGGTATTTTTGGGCATTATCCCCCTTTTAGTTCCCCTTCTAAAATGGAGGATTTGTAAGGTCAGTCAGTACCTAGATTTTTGAACTTTATACATCTGGTGGATCCTATGCTCTGTGATCCTTGTAGGAAGTCCTACCTCTGGAATGTTCTGGCTAATACCAGACCAGGAGTACTGACACCTTTTTTTTTTTTCTTTTTAGGAAGTCAGGTCTTTCAACCTTACAGTCTTGTTTCTTTTTGCCAGATTTGGTCAGGTTACTCATGTTTCTCTCCCCATTTTGACAGACTTTCCCTTTTAAAATTACACATTTCATCGTGGTTGGATAATTTTCACTGATCTTTCTCTAATATGACTTTTCAAATTCCTTAATCTGCTTGTCTTCCCTAGTCAGTAAGAGCTCTACTTGAAGGTGTCCCTTTTCTTCCATCCAGTCTATATACACATTCCTTACATGCCCTGAACTCATCAAACTCACTAGTCATATCATGTTGTTGCCCCGCTGGGTTCCCACCTTTGGAACCTATTTTATCAAAGATTTTTCTTCTGCAATAAGTTGAAAATGTTCTACTGTTAATTCTTGCATTACATCTCGCACCTGAGGAAAGCACTTTGCCTTTCAGGTATAACCTGCAGGATTATGTTCTTTCAAAGGCAGAATTGCTGTGTATTACCACACCCCTAAACAGCCTTGGTGTTATTTGAACAGACTGCTTGTCTTTTGAATTCCTGCCTAACCCCCTTTTTAAACAGCTTACCTCAGCCTTACCCAGTCTTACTATCACCTGACCTTTCACTTATTTTCTTTTAAGGGCTTAGAGATATTACGATTTTATATTTGTTCTCTTACCTTGAATCTTCCTCTTCCTGAAGTCAAAGCTTAGGTTTATCTACTGAACCTTAGTAGCTCTCTGTTTTTAAATTTCATATGGTCATGTTAATTTTTTTCCATATAGATTTTTATTAATGTATTCATGAAGAACAAAAACAGACATCACATCCGTATAAACAAGGGGATACAGTGTACACCACAGTGATAGAGCATATTCTCCATATTAGTCAGGGTAGAGAAAACCTTTACAATTATATTGCCATAAACATCTTCTGCTAAACATTTGCCAACACATACAACCACAACGCATATTTGTAGAGGATGGTTCGGTGTAATAACTTCTGCATTTCCCTGGTTCCAGGAAGAGCACTCCTGCCCCAGTTTAAATTCAGTGGTGTAGGAGGAAAAGAAAGTAAGAAACACTATGTAGGTGGGGTAAGGATTGGGAAGTGTCAAGAGGTGAATAATAGATGAAGGGGAGTGAAAAATCCCCTAAGAAGATCGGAGAAGTAATAAATGAAGTAGGCGTATAAATAGTCCTTGTATAGAGGAAGAAAAAGTTCCGCTGGGGACCCATGCCAGTCCACCCGTGTCAGATCTCACTTGTCGCCATCAGTCCAGTCTAGGTCGGTCAGAGGACCGGTGATGGCCTATGGAGGAGTTGTTAATAGGGCATCGTAGTCCTCTCCCAATGCGAATGAGTGCCAAGGTGCCCAGAGTTGTGAAAACGTATCTAAATGATCTTGCTTAGTGAATACGAGTTCTTCCATCTCGCAAATGTGTTTCACCTGCTTAAGCCATTCTACAATGGTGGGGGGGTCGAGTGCTTTTCCACAGGTGCGGAATGAGCGATGTCGCCGCATTAATCGAGTGTTTATATAATGATTTTGCGGGTCTCCCTCCGTTCAAATCAGAGAGCTGTAGCAGGAACACACCAGGAGTGTATTCTATGGTTGCTCGTGTGATTCGGCCTATCAGGCCATGAATCTTTTGCCCAGAATGGCTGAAGCAGGGAGCATGCCCAAAAGATATGTAATAAGGATCCCTGTTCAGAACCACATCTCCAACAGACCTCAGGGAGGACCGAGTTAATTTTATGTAGAATTTCCGGTGTCCTATACCACCGTGTAGGGATTTTAAAGTTGGTTTCCTGAGTCTTACTACTCACAGAACAGCTATGTGTCCCCTGGCATACCTCTTCCCAGTCCTCGTCTGATATCTATAGAGCCGATTAGGTTTCCCATTTCAATTTCAGGATAGTCGTGTGTTGGGTTTTATATAGTCATGTTCATGTCCTGTATGTTCAAGCTTCCTGAAGTCAAGAGTATGCCAAGCCTAAACCTTTTCTTGCAGTTGCCCAAGTGCTTTTTCACAAATGTTTACTCTATTAATGTCCATAGTTTTGAGGTATAGTTTTTCCCCACAGGATGATTTCTGCCCTGGTCTGTAACACAGGTTTGGCCTGAGTACCCTCACCTTAGTCATGGGTGATGATTTACAAAATACAGATAGGCTGTTCACTTTGCAAGGGAATTTTGACTTTGCAAGGGAATGTTTCCTTAGCTTAGTGAATGTGAAAATTCACTTTGCAAAAGGAAAATAAAAAACAAAAACATATTTGCTTGCACATGATTGGATAATGAAAGTCAGCAGAGCTTCAACTCATTCAAAGAGCTAAAGGAAAATTCCCTTGCAAAGTCAAAATTTCCTTTGCAAAGTGAACAGCCTTTTGGTAAATCAACCCACAGCCTTCAATTCAAGTGTTGGTTACTTCTATACTATATGTAGTATGATTTCCAGGTCACTGGATCTTTCTGTGGCTATTGTCCAACCCTCAGTTAGATTGCTTTTGGACATCATATTGATCATAGATTATCTACTATTCCTGTACCCCTCAATGGACGATAAAGGCAATAAGATTTCTGTATTCATGGTAAAAATCGTTTTTTTTAGTCTATTGAGGGACACATTTTCCACTACTCTATGTATTTGGCCTTGTGTACTGCTTGCTCACAAAACTGAAGCATGACATTTGGAGACAAGGTTATACAGGGGGCTGGCTCAGCAGTTTTGGTTTGTCTGTATCACAACCTCCTGAAGGCAGCAGTGTAACCCATTGATCTGAGTTTATCTACTATTCCTGTGTCCCTCAATGGACTTTTATGGAAAGTACAAAGATCTTATTTTTCACAGATGTCTCTATTTGTTTTGACAGGGTGGACGAGTAATATGAAAGTAACTCCTCGAGTGATAAGTGGACATGACAGTTCCATATTTCCAAAGTTTGCTCTTCAGGTACATGCATTCTTTAAGAAATGAGATTTAATATACAGTATACTTACAGCCATTTATAATGATAACAAATATGGCTTTAATGACTAGGAATGAGTACATCCATTTATGTAAGTCACCACTTGCAGCAGAGGGATGGTTTTACCTCAATATTTGCAGATAAACACTGATTTATATTGGTCATCATATTGGCAGATCTATTCATAATCATTTGCAGGGGTAAAGCGTAGGCTCTCCACCACATATAAAAACCCCTTTCACAGACTCAGACCGGTATTTCATGTGTTACGTGAAAGGGACATGTTGGGAGAGGGCAATCTTTGTTAAGTATGTAGACAGGTGGCAGATTATAAGAACAATACTCTAACCTGCTATGTTTAGTTGAATAAGAAAGATGTATTTTGACAAAACACCTAACTGTTTAACTTCAAGTGCCAGGAGACGATAATTAAAAAACTATTATTCATTGGTGTTTCATGCATGATAGTGTTGCCAACAGTCACATATATGTTGTACATATATTTCCCAGCATTGCTATTTATAGCTTAAGAGCTGGCAATTTATATTCTAATTTAGCATACTTAAAGGCTGACAAGAAACACCGGGCACCTTTCCTGGTGCAAATGATCCTTTGACAAAAAGTGATAAAAAAGATTAATTGTACTCACAAAGGAGTTAGATAAAAGCGTATTGGACATAAAATCCCAGAAGGCAAAAGACATTCAGATTCCAAGCAGTCAGAAAGGCAATCCAAACATACTGCTAAAGCCAGCAAGGACAGGCTAACCCAGCTGAACGCGTTTTGGGGTGAAGCTACCCTTCTTCAGAGCTGGACGGCTCGACTAACTCCGTGCACATTTATATCAGGTTATAACTAGCCCATTAATCCTCATTTTTAAGGACTCCTTAATGACTGGTAGGATCCCCAGTGATTGGCGGAGGGCTACGGTAGTCCCAATATTCAAAAAGGGGGCAAGGTGCCAACCTGGGAACTATAGGCCGGTCAGTCTAACATCGGTAGTTTGTAAAATGCTAGAGGGCATAATAAAGGATTATCTGGTAGAATTTGTTCAGGAAAACGGGATAGTTAATGACAATCAGCATGGGTTCAGGAAAGACCGTTCCTGCCTAACTAACTTGCTAACTTTTTATGAGGGGGTAAGTAGAGATATGGACGGAGGTAAGCCGGTAGATGTGGTATATCTGGATTTCTGAAAGGCTTTTGATACAGTACCACACAAACGCTTGCTACACAAGCTGAGAGCTATGGGCATAGATGAGGTTGTGTGTACGTGGATAGAGAACTGGCTACGGGAACGGGTCCAGAGCAAATGGCATCTTTTCAGAGTGGGCTAGTGTAATGAGCGGTGTGTCTCAGGGTTCTGTGCTGGGTCCCATGTTGTTCAACTTATTTATTAATGACATCGGGGAGGGTGTTAACAGCGATATTTCCGTGTTTGCGGATGACACCAAAATTGGGAGGGTAATAGACACGGACTTAGACATTATAACATTACAGGAGGACCTGGATAAAATAGGGGAGTGGGCATTAATGTGGCAGATGAGGTTTAATGTCGATAAATGCAAAGTAATGCACTTTGGAATTAAAAATAAACAAATGGGTTATACAATTATGGGTATGCCGCTGGGGAAGTCAGAAATGGAGAAGGATTTGGGGGTCATTGTAGACCACAAACTGAAAGGTAGTTTGCAGTGCCAGGCTGCTGTAAACAAAGCTAGCAGGGTCTTGTCCTGTATTAAAAAGGGGATGTATTGCAGGGACAAGTCTATAATTTTGCCACTTTATAGATCATTGGTTCGACCTCATCTGGAGTACGCGGTCCAGTTCTGGTCACCAGTACTAAGAAAAGATGTCCTTGAGTTGGAAAAAGTCCAGCGGAGGGCAACCAAACTAATTAGGGGTATGGAGGACCAGAGCTACGAGACAAGGCTACTAAATTTAAACATGTTCACATTGGAGCTGAGGAGATTAAGGGGGGATATGATCTCCATGTACAAAATGTTCAATGTTGGTAGCAACATTAGCGATAAACTGTTTAAAATTAACTCCATTACAAAAACTAGAAGCCACCACCTAAAATTGGTGGAAAAAAAATTCCAGCACAAGGGGCGAAGGGGGTTCTTCACAGTAAGATCAGTTAGGGTCTGGAACTCACTGCCACAGGCGGTGATTTCAGCAAATAATGTGGAATTGTTCAAGAAACTTTTGGACGATTTCTTAAGGGACCATAATATACAGGGGTACAGGTACTCCTAGAATGAGATCCTAATAGGTTGGACTTGGTGGACTAATGTCTTTATTCAACCTCAAATACTATGTAACTATGTAACTATATCGAGTGTTCGATCAAAAGACACACTAGGATTAGGAGCTGGCCTATCACAGGAAAGCATTCAGTTACTAGGATACTCCCCCCTGAAACACTGCCCAATCAGAGCTAAGGAGGCGTCACCAAGGCAAATGCCTAATCTGCACCGCAGAAGACGCCGGCACAATGAGTGTATATTTAAACAGGAACACTCAAGATAAATGGGACACTGATAAGATAAAATGAATTAAATGGAATCATATACAAAAAACTGTTAGTTGAACCAAGCGAAGGCACTAGCACATCACTGGAACGCTGAATACACTGGCCTGTCGGCTACCCATCATGACAGCTCAGAGGAGCCGACATCAAACCAGCAAACAGACCAACGGCCACAAAGTGACTTAACGCTACCTACTTAAAGGCTGCCCTTTTTAAAGAAAAAAATTGGAAACCTGTTTTTACAGAATACATTGCTTTTTCTGGTCCAGGGAACAACAATATAGCTCAAAACTGCATTATATCTGTAGTATTTTGACTAAAACCCAGACCATTCTGACAAAATACTTTGCTTGTTTAGTTTAACAAAATACTTTGTACAGTTCCAGGATCTGTCAGTCTATTTCTTAACTACTGTAACTTAGTGTGCTATAAGCAGCAATTGTAGAGAAAAAATAGGGGCCTTTTAAGGGCTAAATGTTTCATTTTTATTTAAAATCTGGCAATCTGTTGCCACAGTATGGCTTAAAAGACTGCTTAGTATTGTTGGGGAACACACTGAGGTTTTCTTTGATAACATTTTTGTTCATAAGACTCACTTTCACTGTCAGGCTGATAAAAAAAAAAGCTTCTAGACCGGCTCCTGCAGCCTGCCTCCTCCTTTACTCAAGCGATGGAATGTCCCTCGGTATCCTCATATCCTATACACTGTATAGGACGTGATGACTCACTAGACCTTAGACTGCTGGAGCATAGGGGGAGCCTTTGCAGTGCAGAGTTAGCAAGGGTTAAAATTGTATTTGCCTGGAGTTCTTCTTTAAGTTATATGCAAATTCCCTGTAAAGCATGATCCCTCCCTCCCACCTCCTAAACCTTCCTTTTGATCAATAAAGTAACATATCACAATAAAGGATCAATAGAGAGGCTTAGGGGATGGCTGGAAAATTGTAGGTTTAGGTTAAAAATGGCCAGGTTTGTGACAGGTTTACTTTAGGTGACTTTAACATGTGCATAGATTGACTGTGGTGCTTATTACTTAGCCTTCTTTTGATCGTTTGTGTATATGTGTGTTTTAAACTTATTATTTGAAATATTTTAGGATTATTGAATACCTTTTTCTTTCTAAATTTTCTAAATATTGTAAACAGCATGTGACAGTAGATGCTTGTTCAAGAGATGCCTCGGTCCAGAAATGTATGTACACATCATCTACACAAAGGTAAGAGGTTATGGTTCAATTTAAACTTTGATTGTGTCCTCCTGAAATTTTGTGCAGTAGTGTATATTGCAGAATTCCATTTAATATATATTGTAGGGAATCAGTCTCAAGGCAGGGCCAAACTCGCAAAGTTTAAATAAAAGTTGCAGCTTTATTCCCAGTGACAGTATCAAACAAAAGGTAATATGATATTGCCATAACATAAAGGAAAATAAAATTCTGCTCCACTGAGCCTTATGGCGTCCTTTACCCAGTCGTGTATTCTGGTTTGGAGCTGCCCTAGGCAAGGCAAAACTCGGGGATTTCTCCCACCCCTGCCTGTTTAATACTTTTTACGTAACCTGTCAGTCGCTGGATGCAGTGCACACGTTGTATCCAGCTTTTGTCATGTTCCGCTATTAGCGTAGCAGGAAAGCTGTGGTCTCAGGGGGGCTGTGGAAGATCTGTGGTGAGCTCTGCGAGGTCTATGGTGGGCAGAGCCAACCACAGATCCTGCACAGCACCCCTGAGACCCTGCAGAGCCCCCACAGATCCTGCACAGCCCCCCTGAGGCCCTGCGGTCTATTGCATATCTTACAGTTTTCTATACATTCGCTGTGCTAGACTGCAAGAGAACCTCTGTAACAAATGAGGCCTATAATGTGAGGAGCATTCTTTTGAGTAAGGGTGCCTTAACACTGAAATGTGTGCGTTGGACGTGACTGAACGCAAGTGCATTCACTGCGTTCTGCAGTAAGAAGACCATGAGTTAAGAAATCGGAGGTTCGTGATCGCTCACCTCTCAATTAATAGAGCTGGCATGTGGCACAGGCCGGCGCTAAGCATTGGAAGGAGTACATTTTACTCTCCCAATATTTATCCTTTTAAAGTGTAACTCCACTTTTTCTGTTCTGAAGGAATAGATGTTTCACTGAGTCCTTTCCAGACAGATTTCTGAATGGGAGGGTCAGCGTTCCTCCACCTAAACAGATCCCTTTGTTCTAATGAAGAGAGTTACAGTGTTTGCATGCCTAACAAGACAAGCCTTGGGAAATATTGAATCTGAAATGAAATTTCTATTGTTGGTGGTGACTTAAATTTTGTTTGTATCTTAGTGCAGACTTTTGAGGAAATCAGTGAGTTAAATCATGCAAGTGGGAAATTACATTTCTGATGGGCATTCTGTACAGAAATGGGTATACAGAACACTTCCCGGGTGCCATATTGCTTAAAAAAATTCTAAAAAAATTACAGCAACTGCAGATTGAAATGCACAGGCTAGGGATGCACTGATACCATTTTTTCGGTATTGAGTATGAGTACCGATATTTATATTTTGGTACTTACCGATACCGGTACTTTCACTAGCATGGAGGCGGCTTCCCAGGCAATCAGGATCTTGATTGCCTGGGAAGCCCGCTCCATGCTATTTGGCCAGCTCCATGCTGATTGGCCGGGAAGCCGGCTTCCCAGCCAATTAGCATCAAGCCGGCTCCCTGTCCAATCAGGAAGCCGGGTGGCCGGTCTCTGAATAAGCCTACGTGTTTTGAGTAGAAAACAAAGAGTATAACTACAGTACATCGATTTCTATAGGAAGTGAGAACAAGACTAAGAAAAAATATTAACTTTTTTCTTAGTGCAATCAGCAGGCTGGGTTTGTGGATGGATGGTTGTTAGGCTGTGTGGGGAAAAGTGAGGTTTGACCTGATTATGCTGTATGACAGGGTAGCCTGGATTACAAAACTGCCGAAATACAGTTTATACTTATACTTATTATACAGTATATGTCACTCGAAACAGCATTACTAGCTATGTTCTAAGATCATGAGATCAGAACTAGACCATATTATTAGCTAATGTCTGGAAACAGATCACATCACTAGAGAACTCCAAGGCAAGCTGACCTTTTTGGCTTGCTATGGACATCCCAATTTGAGGACTCTCTGTCCAGGAATCTCTCTTGCTATCTCCCCTTCCCTCAGTCTGGCTACATGCAGTATTGCTCATTCAGAAAGTAAACAGATTCTGCTCTGTGCACTCTTTTAAAAAAGTTTAATAAAAGTTCATTATATATATATATATATGACTTTTGTTCAAGTGCCCCCTTTTTTGTGCATCTTGCAACAGCCACACCACATGTTTTCAGAGTGTCCTGTATTTCACCTGAAGTTATTAGTGGGTTTTTCTTTGTATCCCGAACAATTTTCCTGGCAGTTGTGGCTGACAGTTTAGTTGGTCTACCTGACTGTGGTTTGGTTTCAACAGAACCCCTCATGTTCCACTTCTTGATTAGAGTTTGAACACTGCTGATTGGCATACTCAATTCCTTGGATATCTTTTTATATCCCTTTCCTGTTCTATACAGTTCAACAACCTTTTCCCACAGGTCCTTTGACAATTCTTTTGCTTTTCCCATGACTCAGAATCCAGACACGTCAGTGCATACGTACTGTATATAGCTATAGATTGGTGTGAATGGGAGCTAACGTCTGTACCACACTCACACATAGTATTAATAATATAGTTACAACATAATCTGCCAAACTTTACTAAATAAATAGAACCATTTATATCAGGCTGTGTCACAAAGACCCTTAAATTCCTACCACAGTCATGCTGGCTGAGCCAACCACAATGGAACCTAGCACTGTCACATGGGAGAGGCAGAAAATGTTCACCAAACCCAGAAGTGCCATGTATTTTACTTCACTCCTGGTGGCAGGACAGAGCAGCGAGGGAACAAGGACAGATAAGTATCTGATGATGGGGAGGGAAGGATATTTTGAATTCATGCCCCCCTCCCATCATTTTACTGGGATCATGCAATAAAATCCAGCAACACAGAAGCTTAGTCAGCTTCTCTCAACCTTTTTACTATGAGACACTTGAAATAATCTTCAAGTTCAATGGAACCCCTTGCTAAAAAAGAATTAATCTCTAGCTTACAGTACATTAGCCACACCATATTGGTGGTCAGTGAGCAAAGGGTCCTCTTACACTGGTAGTCAAAGAAAAGAATGCCGTTTACATTGGTGGGCAGTGTAGTGCTCCATATATAAGGGGAAAGTGGGAAGTGGGATTATTCATGACAGTGGTTACCTGTATACTATGAACCAATGACGCTGTCGGCCCTGGCCTGTGTCCGAGCAGCCAATGACACTGTGCAGGCCACAGTTTCATTGTTTGTTAGGATGCAGGCAGCTAGGGCCGCACAGCATGCTTGGTTGCTGACGCCTTGTATTTATGATAAAATACTAGGCGTTCTATGAATTGCCACTGTGCTGAGCAAGCGACCCACTGTGTTTTCAGAACCGCAGGGAAGCCACTCAGCCTAGCATCATACAGGACCCAGAGTAGCTTTGCTTAAAACATATGCATACTTACATTTGGACATACCTATAGTTTAGTTTTAATGAGGGAACTATGCATAAAACCTGGCAAAGTGATAAAGGGTAGTTGTTATGATAAGATTCAGGTTGAGCAGACAAGGGAAGTTGTACAGAGAACTTGCCCTTAATTGAATAAGAATAGGGGCAAAAAGTTACATACAAGATGTATAATAATAGGATGTAAGATGCAGATAGGCAGTGTACCTGTAGATATATTAAGAGAATCTGAGAGTAAGATGCAGCATACAAAAAGACAGGATGTACTATGTAGTATGACATATCATTACAAGCCAGTTTCTCAGTAGTGTATGATATTTGCCATTTTCCAGATATGGAGAAGGGTGCTGGGATGGTGAAGTCTACTTTTCTAGATGCCAGTAACACTATGAAACAATCTATGAACTCTCTAGCCAAACAGAAGAGCTGTGCAGAGCTGCAAGAACTCAAGGCATGAGACATAACAGCGCAGGGAGTGATTTTCCAACTTTCTTCTACTTCATTATTCTACCTAGTGCTTTTCTTGTAATCAACAGTTTGAACACTGAGATTTTACTATGGAAGGAGGAAGGGGAGAGGTCTAAGAAGGGAAATGTTCCACTTCATATCCCTTCCTCTTCACTGACATTATAGCCATATTGTCTTCCTTTCTGAAGCAGCACTCTGTTGTCTGAACTAGTTACTTCAAGGGCCATCACTTGTGCAGCATGAATGGGAACAGTTAAATAAAAGACTGAGAAGTACACTAGACAGTCTTGGGCCTCCTGGAAGCTATGAGCCCTGGCTAACTGCCTGAACCCTTATCATAATCTGCAACTGTTTTAAGGACAATTTTCTTTTCATAGGCCAACCTGTCACATACTGTCATTGTTTCACCATACTATACGGTGCTTTACAGAGGACACAGAACTATTTACTTCAGCAATTTTCAACAGTATTAAATCAACTTGACGCTGTAAAGCCAGTTTAGCTGAAAAAAATGCCTTTTTAATAGATGAACATTTATCCCTGTTCTCACCTATACGTAGTTCTCACCTATACGTATTCTTTGCTTTATAAATAAAAGTAAAAAAAAAAAATCCCAGTTCTCACTTATACGTATTCTTTGCTTTATAAATAAAAGTTAAAAAAAAAATGATAGTGGAGAAATAAAAAAGACAGAAGCAGAAGAAGAGGCAAAAGCTAAGAAAGAAATAACCTAGAAATTAACACAGCTCCTGTGTTTATAGACACTTTGTAAAAAAGACATGCTACTACTGTACATTACCCTTATTTAATTACATCACAGTAATCTCCCAACTAGACGCTCTTATTTCCTATTGATATTGTCAATGGCATTGATCAGCAGGTGTCCAGTATCTGGCTGTCTCAATATCAACTGTATTACATACTTACATACTTCCAGCACTAGTGCAAATAATAATGTTATATAATTCATATTGCTTCATTCAAGGACTTCCTAGGTGGTAACATCATGCATTTTCTTGTTCAGTCATTTTGTTTGTTTTTGAAAAGAAGAAAAAGCAGGAATTTATCATGTGTATATCATGTAGACATGTGCACCAGCAAAAAATTTGTTTAGTTTAGTTTCGTTTTTTAAAAAAAAAAAAAATTTGTTTAGTTTAGTCTCGTTTT